TAATTTATTTTCTTTGTTCCTGCAAAAGTCTAGCATAATAAAAGCCCCTTAACCATGCAAGTGGGACTGATGGTTGCCTAAAGATCAGTTAACTGAATAAGTAAAAGCAGGGAATTGTGGAAAATGTTATTACATAATTTAAACATTTCATGTTAACTTAAAACACACAAATGTATTCACTTGTCAATCTTTTTTTTTTCCCACTTGTTAATCTTTTGATGCAGAGTCAAATAAGGCCTTTTCTTTGACAGTGGATATTTTGGCCATGATTCTATGTAAATGACACAGAACAGCATGCCTTCCAGTTTTTATTTCTTTAAAATGAAAACTTAGACCCTTAAGAAGAAATCTGAGGGCACAATCCCTTTAGATTTTCATTATTTTTTGGAACACCTTCACTGTTTACAGCAATATTCTTTAGTGACTCAACTTCATTCTTCCCACAGAACTGAATTTTCAATCCTAAGGAATCCATAAAAATACAACTAGAATAATAAATACAAGATCAGTATACAAAAATCAATTGTTCTATAGACTAGCAATGAATAAAAAGTTCAAATTTTCATGGGCAGGATCTCTACATTAATATTTCATTCAATTAATTCATTTGGATGCCTTTCATGTACTACTATGTACGAGATGTGTTAGAGAAACTGCAGACTCAGCAGTGAATAAAATACATGGTATATGATTTCATAAAGTTTATATTCTAAAGACAAACAATAAACCAAGTAAGCAAATATATAATATGCTAGGTAGTTGTATGTAGTGGTATGCAGCTGTTCTTTGTTTTCATTGTACTATATCATTCCACAGTATGAATATACTATAATATATTTATTAATTCATCTTTTGATGGCTATTTATTTTCAGTTTGGGGCTATGACAAATAATACTTCTATAAACATTCTTGTACATTTATTCTGTTTCACAAATCTAGAGTTTCTCTAGGGAATATGCCTTATCAAATTCTTAGTCTTATCCTCAACTTTACCAGATAACTCCAAACTGCTTTATAAAGTAGGTAGCCAATTTATATTATCATCAGTAGGGAATGAGAATTCACTATATTGCACATCTTCTGCAACATTTAGTATTGTTAGACTTTTAAAATGCCAGCCATTCTGCTGGGTGTATAGTGGTATCTCATTTTGGTTTTAATTTGCATTTCTTTGATGACTAGTTCATATGTTCACTAGTCATCTGGGTATCCATTTCTGTGAAGTGCCTGTTCAAATCATTTGCTCCTTTTTTTTTTTTTACTGGGTAGTCTATCTTTAAAAAAACTTATTTGTAGGAGCTCTTTATATCTTCTAGATATTAATTCTTAATTCATTATATACATTGCAATCAGTTTCTACCCTGTGGCTTGCCTTTATTCTCTTTTGAGTTTTCTTCTGACAAATACCAGTCTCAATTTTAATGTATTCAGGTTTGCCAATGTTCTTCGTAGCGCATTTGTGTCTTGTTTCAGTAATCCTTTCCTATCGTTGTCAGAAACATATTCACAAACTTTTACAGTTTTATCTTTACAGTTAAATATCAATGCACATGAAACGGGATTTTATGGTGTGAATCAGGAGCAACAATTTCATTTCTTTTCTAATTGTCCAGCAAATCCAAAATTTGAATTGGCTAGTTAGTAATCTCAGCACCTTTTATTATAAGGACTGACCTTTGCCCATTGCTCTACAGTTGCCTAATTCTGTCTATACATGCATGGTCTTTTTGACCTCTCTATTCTCTGTTATTGGTCTAATTCTTTTTTTTTTTAACATTTTTATTGATTCATAATCATTTTACAGTGTTGTGTCAAATTCCAGTGTTCAGTACAATTTTTCAGTCATACATGGACATATACAGGTCTAATTCTTAATTATAATATTTAAAATATTTCATGTCTAGATAAGTTCTCCCTACTTGTTCTGCTTCAAGAATATCTTGGCTTCTCTTCCTAGTCCTTTGTATTTCCATATAAATTGTAGAATGAACCAGTCACATTTCACAACTACTACCCCCAAATCTGCTAGGATTTTGTTTGGGGTTGTAGTGAAACTATAGTTCATTTTATAGAGAACTGACATCTTTATAAATTCAGTCTTGAAATCTAAAATCTACAGACCTATATTTACATAGGTCTCTAATTTCTCTCAAAGGAAAACTGGCCCCATAGAGGTCTTGTGTATCTGTTTGTTAGATTTTTTTCTTAGTAACTTATGCTATTAAAGAACATATTTTTAAAATTTCATTTTCAAATCCTTTTTGAAGAATTTTAGCTTTGCTAATCTTTATTATATACTTGATTTCTACTTTAATACTTTCTGCTCTTAAGATAGATATATATATAGCTCATTAATTTTCAGTCTTTTATTATTCCTTAATATACAAATTCAAGGCTTTAAAAATCCGTTTAAAAATTGTTTTAGCTAAATCTCACAAGTTTCAATACAGACTTGGTAGTTGTACAGTTTAAAATATACTTTAAGTTTCATTATGATTTTTTGACCCGAACAGTCTCTACTGTTTTTTTCTACTGATTTCTAGCTTTAATTACACTGTGATCAGAGACTATTCTATACTCCACACATTTTAAATCGTTAGAAATTTGTTGAAACTTGCTTTATGGCCCAGAATTGGGTCAATTTTTGTAAATTTCATGAGCTCATAAAAAGAATGTATTAGTCAGGTTCACAGAAAACAAGGAAAGACTGAGAAAACATCACAGACAAGGAGACACCAGGAAGACATTAAATGTAATGTGATATCCTAGATTGCATTCTAGAACAACAAAAACAAAAATCAGTGGAAAAGCTGGTGAAATGTGAATGAAGGCTGTAATATAGTTAGTAGTAATGTACCAATATTAAATCTCTAAGTTTTGACACATGTACCATGATCATATAAGATTAGGGGAAACTGGGTGAAGAATGTATGGGAATTCTCTATAGTATCTTAGCAACTTTCCTGTAAATCTGAAATGATTCAAAAATAAAAAGTTCATTAACTTTTTTCAAGAATGTATGTTCATTAGGTTTTCTTTTCCACTTCTATCATTTGTAGAGAAAGGTATATTAAAATCTTCTAGTATGACAATCTATTTTTCCTTATAATTTTGTTACATGTTGCTTTATATACTTTGACATTATGTTATTAAATGCATATAAGTTTTGTTTTCCATTGTCAAAAACTGACCTTTACTCTTTGTGACAGTTCCCATGGATCCAAGGAATAACAGTCAATCAGTTTATTTATTTTCCTGGTGTCTCCAGGCACATACAAATTTAAAATGATTATATCTTCTTGGCAAATTAAACATTCTATCATTAATAATGCTTTTTGACTTAAAGTCTTTTCTTTCTCATATTACTACGGATACACTAGCATTCTTTTGATTAACAATGGTATGGCATCTCTTTTTTCTTTTTATTTGCAATCTTTCTGTTTAATTTCATACTGTTTTATATATGTCTCTCGTAAATAGCATATATATATATATATTTTTTTTTTAAATCCAGCCTCAGAATCACTGTCTTTTAACTAGATTTGGTCTTAATGACATTTTCTATGTTTGAGTTTATTAAACCTACCATTCTCTCCTTCCCATCAGTTCAACATTCCATAACCTCTCCTTTCTTCCTCCTTTTTGGTTAATTTTCCCCTTTCTACTAATTGAGAAGTTATCTAGTGTGTTTTCTATTCTATCCATGGTTATTCCAAAAGAGTATTATTCAATATCATGGTGGTAATAACGGAAATATTCCAAATCTTTAAGATTTGGCCAATAAGATATCCACTAGCTACACGTGGCTTCTGAGCAACTGAAATATGTCTACTACATTTGTCTACCATACCAGACAGAGAAGTTACAGAAACTATAACATCTACCCCTACCATATCAAATTCAGAAGTTAATATTCTCTTCTTGAACAATTAATTCTAGGCCCTAAGAATATCTTAACCTTCTCCCAACTTATGTTATTATTTCTGCATATGCTAATATTTTCTTTTAAACCCCAAAAGATAATGTTTTTATTTAATACAGTCAACAATCTTTCATATTTATCATGTTACTTTCTCTCCACTCACACTTCCATCTGGATCACTCTCCTTCTTTTTAAAATCCTTGTTTAGAATTTCCATTAATGATGGTTTACTGGCAGGAAACTATCTTACATTAATTAATTTAAAAATGACTTTATTTCTCTACATTACTGAAAGATAATTTTCCTGGGAACAGGAAATAGGTAGCATTTGTCTTTTTTCAGTACATCAACTGTATCATTTCCACTGTTGTCTGGTTTCCAATGTTGCTCTCAAAGAGTTAGTTATCAATGGAGAACTACCTTCTCAGTTGTTGAATCGTGGTGCCTGCCCACCATCCAGAGAACTGCTGATATTCACTTGCAAGATAATTATTTGCAGAACACATAATCAGAATACAAACAACTAGCCAGTTCTGAGAGATATTTCATAGAGACCTATGGATTTCAAACTTTTACCTTGTTCTTTTTTCTTTCTCAGCATCAGAATCCTCCTGTCACAAAACAAGTAAGTAAAATAGATAAAAAGCACAGCTCTCACAGCCTTCCAAGAATTTGAAAATCACTGTGTAGACCAGAAAAGTCTGAAGAACAATCTCTGTCTTACATGAGAGTACATTATTTTTCTTTAAGTATATGAATTCAACTGTTTGCCAGACAATATGCAGCTACACGTATAGTCAGAGGGATGATCCGAGTCCAATTTTAAGAACTCAGGTTTAAGTTCCTAAGTTCCTTAACCACCTATGACCTTAGATCATAAGTTCATTCTCCTCAAGAATCTAGGCTACCTGGCATTGCCATGAGCCAGGATCCAACATGGCTCATCTTGAATGCATAAAATGTTAGACATGTTTAGACTTTTCAGTGATTGTTTCAGAGTCAGAGTGCCAAAAAAATACAGATGCCCTGCTTACAGAAGGCCATCTTTTTATTGCTCAGAATACCAGTTGCTTCTACCAAGAGACAGGGATGAAGAAACATTACCAAGTCCTTACTATTATGATCCTTCCTACAGTTAATGCTTCACTCCATCAGTTAACGTTGAGAAACTACTATGAGCCAAGCACTGCTCTAAACAATGAGAAATAAGAGCCCAACTGTCATAAAACATATACTCTAGTGGGAGATCATAGTCAATCAAGTAAATAAATAAATAAATAATTCTAGATAATGACTAGGGGAAAAGAAGGTGACTAAATTAAACAAGGGAAAGCTTCTCTAATAAAGTGACTTTTGACCTAAGACCTGAACTTTGAGGAACCAGGAGTGGGAAGATCTGGGAGCACAATGTGTTTGGTTAATAAAACAGCATTCCACAGTGGGCAATCAGGTAGTACAAAAACCCGAGACAGAAATGACTTTGACATGTCTGAAAAACAGAAAGGCAGTTAGTGCTGCTGAAGGGTAGTAAAAAGAGGGGAGAATTATGTGAGGTGTAGCTGGACAGAAGGCAGAGTCTAGATCATGCAGTATATCATAAAAACTCTGGTAAAATTTTGCACTTTATTTTAGTTACACTGGAGGCTTTTAAGGAAAGGAGTATGGCACAGGGATAAAGGGGAGGGTTTATTTTACAAAGATTGTTCTGAGTGTCAAGACAATTCAGTGGAGGGAAGAATAATTTTTTCAATGAATGGGACTAGGACAACTGAATAACCACATGCAAAAGAATAAAGCTGGGTCCCTTCCTCAAACCATATACACAAACCAACTCAAAATGGATCATACTCCTAAATGTAAGCACTAAAACTATAAAACTCTTAGAAGAAGATAGAAGAGTAGATCTTTGTGACTTTGGGTTAGGCAAAGCCTTTTTTGGGAGAAACCAAAAGCATAAGCAACAACCAAGAAAACCAGATAAATTGGACTTCATCAAAATTTAAAAACTTTGTGCTTCAAAGGACACCATCAAGAAAGTGAAAAGATAATCAACAGAATGGGAGAAAATACTAGTATATCATGTATCTGGTAAGACATATACCTATAATATACAAAGAACTCTTAGAACCCAGTAACAAAAAGACAAATAGCCCAATTAAAAATGGGCAAGAAATCTGCAGACATTTCTCCAAAGAAGATATACAAATGACAAAAAGTACACAAAGAGATGCTTAACAGCACTAGCCATCAGAGAAATGCAAATAAATCCACAATGAGATATGATTTTAAACCTACTACGATAGCTATAATAAAAAAGATAGACAATAACAAGTGTTGGTGAGGATCTGAACTCAACTTCATAGTTAGCCTCCAACTCCATGAAATTACAGTCAGAAGTCTTGAGCAGATTTAGCAGTCTGGAGGACTGCACTCTTAACCTCACACTTTGGCTAATTCCAGATAAAAGCACAAAAATATAAGTATCAGAAAACATAAATCTGGATTAATTTGCCAAATTAGTGAAATTTTACAATATTTGTATCATTTAATTTAAAAATGTTCTACTTACCTGAGGGTCCACTAACCACCCATGGTACAAAGGAATATCAAGAAGATCAAATACTATGCATTCTGGTGTATATTCAAACACTCGAACACCAGTGAATTTTACATTTACATCCAAGCCTGTCTGTAGTTTGTGCAATACTGCCATAGCATCACTCATATTCTGAAAACAGAAAGGGGAAGGGTAAAAACGAGGAAATCAAACAATAACAAAAAGATACTTAAATGCAGGCACATTTACTTCAAATTTTCCAATTATCCAATTTATTCACCCCTTCAATTTGTATTATTAAGTGCCTACTATGTGCCAGGCACTAATCTGAGCTCTAAAGATATAATAGTGGATAAAACAAAGTTCCTAATCTCATGGAGCTAACATTCTACTGTGAAAAACAAATACATAAATTATAATATCATGTCAAGTAGTAGTAAGAAAAATTGAGCAGGATAGGGTGTACAGATTGAGAGGGGTGAGGAACATAATTTTAGACTCTTTACTTTTAACTCAGGTTTGCTGTATAGTGTGTGTCTCCTATAAACAGCAAGTAATTAGGTCTTATTTTTTTCCCAAACTGGAAATGTCTTTCAGTAATATAATAATGGCTTTTAGATAGTGTTAGGACTAGATATATGAACATTCAAATTCAAGAAATTTTGCAATACTGAAATGAGTTTTCTTTTTGCCATCTGGATACTGGTGAAGGTATGTAGAAAAAGTTACTTTGAAAATAAATATAAAGTTTCCACTGATGTCTGTTTCTGCCTTGGCTGATACTTTCTTCCACTGTAAGAATCTGATTTCTTCTTGCCTTCCATTGTCAAACAAAGGAAGAATACTTAAGAAAATGAAGCTCTACTTGCTTTCTTCCAGCTCCAATAATTTTGAACCCAGTGTTCCCTCCTATATTATAGGATAGTATTTCTAAAGAACATGTAAAGAAATGCGGACACACTGAAACTATGGAACAGTAGATTTTGTCCTAATGCCATACCCCAGACATCATTCGCTGAACTGTTTTCTAAACACAACTTAATTGTAAAATACAAATAAATGAGGAAAGATGAATCAATGACAAATTCACTTGAAAGTCGATTTTTTCAAGGAAATTACCAGGTTATCATTCTACATAGAAGTGCAGAATGATATCTATATTTCATTCTATATATATAGGTTCATATAAAACAGAGATCAGCAAAATATGGCTTGTGAGTCAAATATGGCTATGAGTTAAGAATGGTTTTTACACTTTTAAAAGGGTGTTCAAAATAAAGAAATCAAAGAATATACCTGAAAAGCCACTGATAGGGACCAATGAATACATCCATAAGTTAAAATGACATATTTTAATATAACAAAAATTATGTCAATTACCTGCTCATAGTTTAAACGTTGAATTTCTGAAATTTCTTTTGGCTTTGTATCAAGCATGTAATCTCCTGGAAAGAGAAATTGTTAAGCTGCCTTTTAAAAATGTTTTGTTTCTAATTACAAAGATAACAGATTTTAATGATAAATTATAGCAATATGTGAATGTCACATCATAAAAAACTGACTCCCCAGTTCTATTCAGAGAAAATCAATATTAATTGTTAGTTACAGTCTCACATATTTTTTTCAGTGTACATCCTACAACGCTTTGGAATTTTTTCTGCCCCTTTACAATACATTTGAGCATCTTGCCATGTCACTGCAATAAAGCTCTAAAAGGTTTAACCAAGTTTCATCAACAATGTAACTATTACCTCAATACCTTTCCAAGAATGGGTGTTACCACTCTTCTAAACATCTGCCATTCTTAGAAGTAAACGAAATTTTCCTTGCTTTTAAAAAACTGACATCTTATCGTGAACCCTCCTACACTGTTGGTGGGAATGGGTTTGGTGCAGCCACTGTGAAAAACAGTATAGAGATTCCTCAAAAGACTAGGAATAGACGTACCATATGACACAGTAATCCCGCTCCTGGGTATATATCCAGAAGGAATCCTACTTCAAAATGACACCCACACCCCAATGTTCACAGCAGCACTATTTACAATAGCCAAGACATGGAAACAGTCTAAATGTCCATCAACAGATGACTGGATAAAGAAAATGTGGTATATTTATACAGTGGAATACTATTTAGCCATAAAAATGACAACGCCATTTGCAGCAACATGGATGTCCCTGGAGAATGTCATTCGAAGTGAAGTAAGCCAGAAAGAGAAAGAAAAATACCATATGAAATTGCTCATATGTGGAATCTAAAAAAAGAAAAACATAAATACAAAACAGAAACAGACTCATAGACATAGAATACAAACTTGTGGTTGCCAAGGAGGAGTGGGGTGGGAAGGGACAGACTGGGAGTTTAAAATTTGTAGATACTGACAGGCATATGCAGAATAGATAAACAAGATTATACTGTATAGCACAGGGAAATATATACAAGATCTTGTAGTAGCTCACAGCAAAAAAAAAAGTGACAATGAATATATGTATGTTTATGTGTAACTGAAAATTGTGCTCTATACTGGAATTTGACACAATATTGTATAATGACTATAACTCAATAAAAAATGTCAAAAAAAACTGTTATCTTAGAGATTACCAGTGGAGAGAGGGGAGGGAGAGGGGCAACACAGGGGTATGGAATTAAAAGATACAAACTACTATGTATAAATTACAGAAGCAACAAGGATATATTGTATAGCCCTTGGAATTAAAGCCATTATCTTGTAATAATTTTTGAGAAGTATAATCTATAAAAATGCTGACATTATGCTTGCTGTATATCTAAAACTAATATAATATTGTAAAGCAACTATACTTCAAAAAATAATATATTTTTATATATGTACCTTTATTGGTATCACCTATTTATTTATTTGAAGTATAGTCAGTTTACACTGTCAGTTTCTGGTGTACAGCATAATATTTCAGTCATACATATATATACATATATTCATTTTCATATTCTTTTTCATTATAGATTTCTACAAGATAATGAATATAGTTCCCTGTGCTATACAGAAGAAATTTGTTTATCTATTTTATGTATAGAAGTCAATATTTACAAAGCTCAAACTCCCAAATTTATCCCTTCCCACAACCTATCCCCCGGTAACCATAAGTTTGTTATCTATGTCTGTAAGTCTGTTTCTGTTTTGTAAATAAGTTCACTTGTGTCTCTTTTCTTCTTTTAGATTCCACATATGAGTGATATCATATGATATTTTTCTTCCTCTTTCTGGAGTACTTCACTTAGAATGACGATCTCCAGGTCCACCAATGTTGTTGCAAATGGCATTATTTTATTATTTTTTATGGCTGAGTAGTATTCCATTGTGTAAATATACCATAGCTTCTTTATTTAGTCATCTGTTGATGGACATTTAGGTTGTTTTCATGTCTTGGCTATTGTATATAGTGCTGCTATTAACACTGGGGTGCACATATCCTTTTGAATTAGAGTTTCCTCCGGATATATGCCTAGGAGTGGGAATGCTGGATCATACCGTAAGTCTATTTTTAATTTTTTGAGGAATCTCCATAGTGTTTTCCATAATGGCGGCACCAAACTACATTCCCACCAACAGTGTAGGAGGGTTACCTTTCTTCCACACTCTCTCTAGCATTTATCGATTGTGGATCACCTTTTTAATATATATATGAATTTTAGTATATGTGACACTATTTAAATACATGCAGTACCTTTTTAATCTATGTTTTACCTTTTTAATTATGTATTAACTATATATACATTTTCTTTGAATTACTCACCTATACAAGTATTATTTTTTTCTTGAATTACAAAAGTTCTTTTCCAATTAGAGGAATTAGAACATTTGCTGTTATATGTGTGGTAAATATTTATTTTCCTCATTTTTTGGCCTATTTTTCACCATACAGAAATATTTAATTTTAATGTAGTCAATTCTCCTACTATAGTTTCTGGGTTGGATGTTATGTTTAGAAAACTATTCACCTTTTCAGAATATACAAACATTCACAAATGCATTCTTCATGTAATTTTATGTTTGCTTTTATTAATGTTTAAATCTTTAACTTATCTGGAATTTATTTTGATATAAACAGTAATATGTGGAACCAGCTTCTCATCCAGCCTCCCAAATCACTAACATGCTGATGAAATTGTTAATATAATCTTTATTTTCTAATTCAATATAAACTTCTAAAGACTGCCTCAAGCATCCTGATAATCTTTCCAACTCTGACAATAAAAGAATACCTATAAACATCAATATATTATTATTTATGCTTTAATTAGAACTTTAAGACAGCAAAATTTAGTAATAATTTTATTCCACCATAGGCACAGGAACTCTAAAAGCATTAAATTAACTGATTCATAGAAATATATAGCCCTAAAAGCATTAAATTGATTCATAGAAATATAATATTCTACACACACACACTCTTAATAAATATGTTTGTGTCCTTACGATACATGGCACACTGTATATTTATATGTTGAGGTTTTAATACATTTAACCAAAAACTATGCTTTGAGTAACTTTCATACATTATTTATTCAAATAATTGCGAGCATATTTGCTATACTTGTATCCAGTATTTCATTTCTGCATTTATCCTGATAACACTGTAGTATATGCTTTCTTGACACTTTAGAAGGGTCAGGATGCAGAATACTATACAATTCAATATTAAAATGACCCTAGACATGCTATCATCGATTAAAAGCTTAAATGCTAAGAAAATGCTAAGAATAGAATAATTTGGGGAAAAGACCCAGTTAAGAACTCCTCTTTTTCTGATGTCACAAAAGCTCTTTGGACAAGCGAATAGCCTGGTTAAGAGAGGCAGCCTCTTCAATGGACCTCAATCATCACTATCTCCTGATGTTCATACCTTTTTATAGCCCCCTTCCCTTGAGTGTGGATTGGACTCACTTCTAGTGAATAAAATGACAGAATTAATGAGATATCATTTCCAAAATTAGAATACAAAATATTGTGGCTTTCGTCACAGTGCTCCCTCATTTGCTCACTCTAAGGAATGCCAGATGCCGTATTCTGAGCTGTCTTGGAGAGACCTGCATGGAAAGAAACTGAAGGAGGCTTCTGGCCACAGTGAGGAATTGAGGACCTCAATCCAACATTCTGTGAGGAGCTGAATCCTGCCAATAACCATGTAAGCTTGAAAGCAGATCCTCCTGAGTTGGGCTAGAGATGAGACTGCAATCCTAGCTGACACACTGAATGCAACCTCACAAGAGAGAGAGCTTAAGCCAGAATCACTCAGCTGCACCCAGCTTCCTGACCTACATGAGATAATAAAGGTTCATTATTTTAAGCAACCAAATTTTGGGGTGATACGTATGCAGCAATGGTTATCTGTATTTTTAGGGAAGTTTGTAATAGAGAATTAGATTTTTTATAAGACTGAGTTTGAGTTTCTAAGGGAGCATCTTTCAGTTTTAGGTGTCTAAACAAATCATCTCTTAAGAATGCTGTTTTATCCAGCTTATCTAACTTTTATATCAAAATTGGTCAACAACACTATTTCAATCAAAAAGTATTGAGAATCTATTCTGTGTTTAGTAACAGGTTAAAGCAAATACCCTGTTTGGAAATGCCTGTTTCCCTTAAAGAAACTAATAATCCAGTTGGGCAAAGAGCATACAGGAAACAGAATAATAAAATGATAAAGTATAATATACTGTACAGTGTTATAAATGCCTTAAGTACCAAATGATTTTGAAAAGAGATATTGATAAAGCCTGTATCACTTAGAAATATCCTTTGGAGAGGATAGTATCTAAATCAGATTCAGAAAAATGGACAGAACTTGCCAAGGTAGTAAGAGAAAAAGGATTCTTTGAGGGAGAATGAGTGATGGAAAAAACACACATAGGAAACATCATGCCATATGGACAGATTATAAGAAGGTTTATATATAAGATTATGTTGCAGGGTGGTGGGAAATAATGGCTGGTCGGGTAAACTTGATCAGATTATAGAAAATTATAAATAATATGTTAATAGGTTTGGCTGTTTGTGAAAAAATCATAAAGGATCTTTATGCTTTTAAGTAGACAAGTGAAGGATGAAATTGGTGCTTAGGAAGATATCGATGGTATGTAGGCTAATTTGGAGAGGAGAGGAAACAAAAGAATTGGCAATAAATCATGCTGTGAAGTACCAGTATATAGAGAGAGGAAAGAATTTCAAAGAATTAATCCGTAAGATTTTGCTCCTAATGGGACATTCTAGACAAAGAGAAATCAAGAAACAAAAACCTGCAGCTAGCTACATTAAGCCAAAAACGGAAGAGAGGGCTTGGCAGAAGGTAATTTACCCCAGGTGAGCATTTGGAAAAAAGGAGAGACAGTCAACTCTGAACAAAATTAAAATGCTTCAACACTGACCTCTTTTTATTGTATTTGTTTTCAAAAGATAAAAATAAGTCAT